AGGGTCGCTGGAAGCCGCTGGTGGAGGCTGAGCTGTCCGTGCTGGTGGACGTCCTGCATCGGCCGGAGCTGCTGTTCATGGAGGGCACGGAGGCGTTTCAGCGGTGCGAGAGCGGAGGGTTCCTCTCCAAGTGAGGACGCTTCCCCATTGCTCAGGGGGTGCTGGGAAGGGCTGGTGACCTTCATCCTTGGTGGGCTGTGCATCCCGCTGTGTGCCGTCAGCCTGGGGGGCTGGCAGGGCTGGTTCCTTGTCTCTCCTGGCTCTGTGTGACCGTGGCTCTGCCGTGCCAGGCTGGTGCAGCACACCAAGGACCTGATGGAGACGGAGGAGAAGCTGTGCATCAAGGTGCTGAGGACGCTGCAGCAGATGCTGGTGAAGAGGAACAGATACGGCGAGAGGGTGAGCACCGTGGTCCCCTGACAGGTCCCCAGTCCTGCTCCTTGTCTGTGTAGCCCAGGCTGGTGGTGCCTCCCCCTGCTGCAGCTCAGCCTCATTCCTATCTGGTGCTGGTCCTGGCATTGGGAGACTCCTGATGTTTGTTTGTCTTGGCAGGGCAACCTGCTGCGGAAAATGCTCATGAACAATTACCTGCAGAACAAGAAGTCCAGCTCCAAAGGAGAAATGGCAGATGCTGCTGGGGGAGGTGAGTGCCCCTCTCCTGCACCTTCCCTGTCCCTCTGCACTGCTCACACACACCTCGATATCAAGCTCCGTGACTGGATCAGGCCTGTAGCTGGTCCCCGTGGATCTGGGGAGGTGAAGGGGTGGGAGTGAGATGCCCCTGGCAGTGATGTAGCTGTGCTCACTCTCCTGCACCACAGCAGCATCACATCACTCCATGTCCTCTCATGCAGGCCAAGACCAGGACTGGTCTGCTATCGCTGCTGTCCAGTGCCGCCTGGACCGAGAAGGGGCCACCAAGTTGGTGGCTGACCTCATCATGAACACCAAGAACGAGAAGATCTTCCAAGAGAGCATCCTGCTGGCCATCCGGCTGCTGGACGGGGGCAACACGGAGATCCAGGTGCTGAGGGTGGTGGGCACCAACCCCACCTCAGGGGGTGGGGCAGCCAGGGTTGGGTCGGTGCTGCGTATCCATCCCAGCACCTGGAACATATGGGAGTGTGGTTGCAGTCCTGGGTTGGTCCTTGGGCTTTGCCAGACCTTGGTTGCAGGTGTTTGCTGGTCATCCAGAGGAAGAACTGCAGGAATCTTGTCTGCTTTGGGGTTTTCCAGCTGGGTGGCTGGAGGGCTGGAAGATGCCAGAGTTGCAGGTGGCTGTGGGTTGTTTCTGGAGTGCTGCTGATGCCCTCTGCTGGGTATTCCTAAAACCAGTAGGGTTCCAGACCTGGAGCTGCTGCAATGGCTGCTTGCTCTGTCCCTAACCCTGCTTTTAGGGTAAAGGAGGGCACAGGGGCACCGGGACAATCCTCCTCTGTAAATCCAAGAGGATTGTGGTGTCCAGGGCTGGTGCACAGAAATAAACCTGCTCACCAGGTTCTCTCAGACAAAGCCTTGAGTGCTGGATGCTACCAAACCAGGCAGGGGGACAGCTGGGACTGCTGGAGACTTGAATGACTGTCCTGCCTCCTCCCAGAAATCCTTTTACAACCTCATGACGAGCGACAAGAAGTCTGAGAAGTTCTTCAAAGTTCTGCACGACCGGATGAAGAAGGCCCAGCAGGAGACCAAGTCCACAGTGTCTGTGAACATGAGTGACATCGGGAACAAGCCTCGTGAGGACAAGGAGGAGCCTGACCCTGCCACCAAAGGTAGGGGCCTGTGTCCCCTTGGTACAGCCAGTGTGTCCCCTGGGATCACCCGGTGCTAACGGGGTTGGGTTGCCCTCCAGGACGAGGAGAGACCTTCCTGATGCCTGGCACCCCCACCCGCTTCCCCGTGGCCATGGGGTTTCGGAAGGGCCACGACACGGGGGAGCAGGGTCAGAACAATGAGATGGGGGTGACAGTCCTGATCATGGAGCCCATCCTGAGGTTCCTGCAGCTGCTCTGCGAGAACCACAACCGGGACCTGCAGGTTGGTTGGGGGATATGGGGGGGACATGGGGTGGATATAGGGTTTGGGGCTGGGCTCTGCCTCAGTTTGGTCCCACATGGCATCACACCAGCTGCCTTGCCTCAGTTTCCCCATCTGCAAATCCACCATCCCTTGTGGATGATTTTTGGCGTTGAGGAAGGAGCTGCTCGTGTTGCTACTCTGGTGGGTCTGTATGTTCCCAGGGTGGCCCCAGCCTGCTTCTCCACCAAACTGCAGCTGCAGGAGGGGTTGGGAGGGGGATCAGGACTGTCCCTCCATCAGGTCAGTGCCATCACTCCATGCTTTCCCCCACAGAACTTCCTCCGGTGCCAGAACAACAAGACTAACTACAACCTGGTGTGTGAGACCCTGCAGTTCCTTGACATCATGTGTGGAAGCACCACAGGGGGGCTGGGGCTGCTGGGCCTCTACATCAACGAGTACAACGTGGCCCTCATCACCCAGACCCTGGAGACCCTGACCGAGTACTGCCAAGGGCCCTGCCATGAGAACCAGGTCTGGGGCACTCCTGGTGGGGCTGAGCCATTTTGATGCTCATCAGGGACCCCTGAGGGAGGATTTGGGGTGGGGTGAGGTGGGAAAGCGGGGGGGGGGAAAAAGCAAGCTCTTGGTGTCAGGGTGTGAGTGGGAGCAGCACGTGGGCAGCAGAGGATGCTTGGGTGCAGAGGAGTCCTGCCTGGGGTGTGAGCTGCACCACAGAATCATTCTGGTTGGAAAAAACCTTCAAGATCATCAAGTCCAAACATTACTCCAACTCTAAGATGTCTGGTGCTAAGCCACGTCCCTCAGCACCCCCTCTACATGGCTTTTAAACACCTCCAGGGATGGTGACCACCCTGGGCAGCCTGTGCCAGTGCCTGATGACCCTTTCAGTGAAGAATTTTCTTCTCATATCCAATCTAAACCTCCCTGGTGCAACCTGAGGCCGTTTCCTCTTGTTCTATCACTTGTTACTAGGGAGAAGAGACCAAACCCCCCATCACTAAATGCACATGGGGGGGTTAAATAATACAGGGATGCAAATGGCTCCTTGTCCATGGGCAGAGCAGATTTGGAGCTCCTGGGATGGGCAGGGTTGGTGCTGTAGGCAGGGCAATGGTTTGGGCCTGGGCTGTGTTAGAGGGCAGCTGGGGGGACTGGCAGCACCAGAGGAATAACATGTTGTGTTGCTCCCCCAGAGCTGCATCGTGACCCACGAGTCCAACGGGATTGACATCATCACAGCCCTCATCCTCAACGACATCAGCCCCCTCTGCAAGTACCGCATGGACCTGGTCCTGCAGCTGAAGGTGGGCAGAGGGCTGGGCTGGTGGCTGCACACGTGGGCATGGCCGTGGGGTGTGCTGTGGGGTGAGGTGGCCATGGGGTGTGCTGTGGGGTGAGGTGGCCACTGCAGCAGGTGATGCAGCTCGGGAGCTTGGTGGGACAGGGCTGATGCATCTCCACCGTGAGAGTCTGGGGACGTCTCTGGTACGGGGGTGTTGTGGCTGATGGGGGCATGGAGGGAGTTTTGCCCACCCTGGGCAGAGGCAGGGCACAGCTCCCCTCACTGAGGGCTTCTCCTTACCAGGACAATGCTTCCAAGCTCCTCTTGGCCCTCATGGAGAGCAGACACGACAGCGAAAACGCTGAGAGGATCCTCATCAGCCTCCGCCCGCAGGAGCTGGTAAGGGCTGACAGTGAAGCACCCCCAGCCTGGTCCCAGGGAGCCCCTGGCTTCCCTGGGTCTCTTCTGCATCCAGGTCCTGCTGCCGTTTCTGGTTTGCAACCCAATAAACATCTCAGCTGGTGCCCTAACCCTGCTCACACACCACCACCTGCAGCAGCGTTCCTGCCTGTTGCCATTCCCAGAGCCTTTCCTCAAGGAATGGAAAACAAGACAAGGAGATAGGGAGAAGCTCACTGTCCCTCTGCTGCCTTCCAGGTCGATGTGATTAAGAAGGCCTATCTGCAGGAGGAGGAGTGTGAAAATGCTGAGGTTTCCCCCCGGGAAGTTGGTCACAACATTTACATCCTGGCGCTGCAGGTACTGATGCTGCAGCCTGAGGTGCCAGCAGGGTCCCTCCCAGGCTGGGCTCCCAATGCTGTGCTGGGCTCCCACTCACCAATTTGCACGTGTTTCTCTATATGAATTTCCATTTCCTTCAGCCAGGCTGGTCTCCTTGGGGGAGGGATGGCTGGGAAATGTGCTTTTGGCTCCTGGGAGAAGCCAGCCCCCCAGCTCGCGGGCTGTCCTGCTGCTGTGGGCACTGGCAGCTGCTCACCCAGCTCTCACTGTCCTTCTTCCAGCTGTCACGACACAACAAGTCTCTGCAGCAGCTCCTGAAGCCAGTGAAGAGAATCCAGGAAGAGGAGGAGGAGGGGATCTCATCCATGGTACAGAGAGGCCTTGGGAATGGGGGCAGAGCCCACCCTGACCACCCCACCCTTGACCACAGGCTCAAAGGAGCAGCTCCTCCTACCCTCTGTGGCTTATGTTGGTTAAGATTTGATGGGCTCTGGTGTTCCCATGGGGAGACTAAAGAAAGAAAGAACTATCAGTGCCCTTGTAGCCAAAACTACAAGTTCAAAGGCTGCAGAAACCCATATTTGTGGGGCTCAGCCATAGGGTGACATCCAGAGGGACAGGCTGGTACCTGTTTTCTCCCTTTCACTTCTGAAAAGAGAGAACTGAGTCCTTCACCACCATTTCTTGCCTGAATACCTTAGATCCCAAATGAGATTCAGCAGTAGGATGATTTCCCTGGGGTTTAATGGGCATAGATTTGTAATTCGTGGATTAGCAGCATTTGGGTGTAATTATTGCAGGGAACTGAATGTCTGTCACCTCAGGGAGGGCTCGTAGGAAGCTTGAATTCATTTGCTTTTCCCTGAAAACTCATCATCTCTGGTAGATTTTTGAGGAACTCTGTTTCCAGGGCAGTTAGACCTGACTCCCCAGGCTGAGCCACTCTCATCCCCTCTCCCTCTCCCACATCCCAGCTCAGCCTAAACAACAAGCAGCTGACCCAGATGCTGAAGTCGACGGCCCCAGTCCAGGAAGAAGAGGAGGATCCACTGGCATATTATGAGAAACACACCTCCCAGATTGAGGCAAGACCTGGGAGTTGTTGGGTTGCCAGGGTCTGTGAATCCCACTTGTGCTCCAGCTGCCCCATGCCCTGTTAATTCACACTAGGAGCCTTCCCATCCCTGTGCCAGCAGGGAACAGATGAGCCATTGGCTCTGCTGGAGGTGTTAGCAGAGCCCACAGGGAGCTGGGGGAAGGAGCTCACCCCTGGACCCTTCCTTTTTCTCCCAGAAGCAGCTGGGATGCAGCCAGTTTGGCAGCCTCATCCCTGTTTGCCAGCTTGGATCTCCATGCAGATGGACCAGCAAGGGTCCCTGTGCTCCCAGTTCTCCTCCATGCTCCTAGTTGTCATCTTGCCTTTGCTTGGCCCATTTGATCATGATAGAAGAGGGGTTGATGATGTTTGGATCCTGCTGGAGTTGGAGGGGAAAGGCACAGCTGGGCCTGGAAAAGAGGAAACCAAAGCCTGGCAGAGCAGGATCTGATGGTACCACCTTCCCCCCCTTCCTTCAGATCGTGCGCCTGGACCGGAGCATGGAGCAGATCATCTTCCCAGTGCCTGGAATCTGTGAGTTCCTCACCAAGGAGACCAAGTACCGACTCTTCACCACCACGGAGCAGGATGAGCAAGGCAGCAAAGTCAGTGATTTCTTCGACCAGTCGTCCTTCCTGCACAACGAGATGGAATGGCAGAAGAAGCTGCGCAGTAAGAGCAAACCAGACCTTCCTGCCCAGCACAGGCACTTGGAACAGCCCCCGTTTTGGGAAAGGGGGAGGCAGCCCTGCTGGGAAGGGCTGCAAACCTTGGGAGCAGCCAGGAAATCACATCTCCAAGCTATTTGTGCCCCTTGCTCCATAGAGCACATCCCACTTGGCTGTTGGCAGGGAATGCAGGTTAATCCAGAGCCCGGGGGTGTGTTCCCTCCGTGCCTGACACTGCAGCTCCTCAGCAGCCTGAAGTGCACCTTCCAGCACATTCCCTAGGGATACACCTGCAGGTGTTTTCCCCAGGAAAGCCCTTTCTCCACTTGGTTTTGGTTGCCTGATCCTAAGCCAGGATCTAACAGCTGCACATGGGAAATAAAACTGGTTTCTCTGCCCCCTGCAAACCTGCTCAGCTGCTCTCAGGGCTGCATCAGAATGGAAATCCTGGCTTAAAATACCAGAAGCTCAATAAAGAGTCCCACTATAAATCCTGGGATGCAGCTGAGGGGCAGTACAGCAGCTCTGAAAAAAAAAACCCTCACAGATTC